GTAATTAGTTAGACAGCAGGTCCACATCAGCCTGTGGCTGCGTAGTTTAGTTAACCTGCTTAACAAATAAAAGTATGTATGTATGTATGTATGTATGTATGTATGTATAGATAATGTCGTATCGGCAGCAGTAAAAGATAGATGCCCAAAGTAAAAGGTCCATTAACCTCATAAGATTAGTATCAAAATATTCAAATACTCCAACTGTAATAAGATGTACAACCAAAACAATACGAAAACTTTCTTATTTCAAGGACTTAAACCGACGAATTTTCTACACAAAAATTAGATTATTTATTATTAATTAATTATTACATTGCGTATTTTTTAAATCACACCTTTTCCATGTCTTCTCTTCTGCTCCGTTTGTACTGCTCTACGTTATATGCTCTTCTAACACATTGGTACCTTCAGGGTGAAAGAGGAGAGCCTGGAGAGGCTGGACCACCAGGAATTAAAGGAACACAGGTAAGCTTATTGGAAATTTACTAAAAGCTTACTAAAAAGGCATGGGCACCGCCTTTTCTTTTGTTTTGTTTTTTTAAGCTACAGAAGTATCAATTCTATATAGGGTAATATTCCCGACTACTAACGTTGGGCTTGTTTCCCCCCCGCCATCTAACAGGGACTTTCAGGACCATCGGGACCTCCTGGTCAATCTGGTAAAGACGGTAACGACGTAAGTACACGCTTTTTCTTTTCTGTTTGACTTCAGTTTTTAAGTTTTTGATGTTCTTTGAGTTCAATTTGATGACTGTTGTAATTATTTTGTAGGGAACACCTGGTGCCCCTGGTGTACCCGGCGAACCAGGAAGTGAAGGACCTCCGGTATGTCTGTCTGTTTGTCTATCTGCCTGTATTAAAGTGTAAGACTATCAAGTAAAATATTTAATTGTGCGTGTCAGCACCTTAGTTAGTGTCAATGTTTTTAGGGATATTTACTTTTGACTCGAACTCTCTGGAATTCTTGGAGAATGCTGAAGACCACGCATGTGCAACTAATCCATGTTTATTGGGACTTTTTTTTCTTTTAAGGTGTATTATTTTGTTGCTTGGTTGTTGTTTTTGTTTATTTAATTAGTTCTTATAACTGATCACCTAGTATTGAGTGAAGACGTTTCCTTCCAGGGCCCACGAGGACCTCAGGGACTTTCTGGATTACCTGGTGTCAAAGGAGATCGGGTAAAGATATTTTATGATATAAATACATTGTTCCTTCTTTCATGTCTATCGGTCTACCAGATACCAACTTGTTTTAAAATCCCAGACCATATGAAATACAGCCAATCAGACAAAACTCTCGGTAATTCACTCTTCCTTCCCATCATGCGTTGAATTTAAGCATTTGTATTCAATATGGCGTGGGATAAAACAGTTACTACAATGCTCTCTCGTGGCACAGTATCGATTACCCACTGGTCAATATAATTGTATTTCTTATACACACTCACCTTTCGTGGAATATTCCATGGTATACTATTTGTATGCATTGTATAACTAGTATTATGTACCATTATGTACCAGGGTGAGCAAGGACTGCGAGGAGAGAAAGGAGATCAAGGCAAGATAGGAGAGAGAGTAAGTTTAATAGATACATAATCATGAATGACTGCAAATGTGAGTTATAATCTGAGCCTTGGCTAAAGAATGCCAAGGGCTAGTTTTAACGACCAGACCAGACAAGAACTTAATGTCGATTAATTAGAAGAACCTCACGAAGAATAATTAGAAATTAGTCCTTGAACCCGAATGGGCTATTGACTCATAGGTCATGAGAGCGAGAGGACTAATTTTTTAGTCAAATCCAAATAGTTGGTCAAATATATATCTGCAAACAAGTCTTGAGTTAAAGATAAATTTAATTTTTTTGGCTTTCAAAGCTGGCACGTTTTGCTACTAGTAGCTCATCCAATCAGAACGCAGCATTGACTATGATAGACCGCTAGTTGAATTTAACTAACTTCAATTAGCTTATTTTGTTGAGAATGTGTCAGCTGTGGTGGGGAGCGCTATTATTGCAGCTTATGTAAGTTGAATTCTTGACCGGGACGACACACATGGTTTTATGTACGACAAAATAATGAGACAGAGATATTGTCTCGTTAAAATAGTATCTAGATTGAAATAATGAATTGGAACTTGAAGTAATCTAAAACAAGGAAGTTAGTATTAATAAAAGATATAGGAAGCCAGTGCTGCTTCTTGAGAATTAGTTTTTAGGTCTAGTGACATTTAGGTCAGGTCAAGTCTAGCGACAGTTTTGCATTTTCTGAAGGCGTTCAATAAGATATAAAGTAGGAAGGCCAAAGAGTATTTTATTGCAGTGATCAAGACGTGAAGATGTAAAGGCGTAGACAAGTTGTTTAATAGTAGATTATCAAGGTATCGTCTTATTCTGTCAATACCTATGTTTCCACGAAAAGCACTTTTACAGGTGTTAATAACATGCGCCAGTGTCTATACATAAGTTACTCAGTATCAAAAGTGACACAAAGGTTATATGCTTCTATGGGAGTAATCACATTCCCCATTTCGATTGCTATAAAAGATGAAGGCTGTTGAACCATCAGCTCGGCAAGCTATTCAAGCTCTTAAAATTGATTGCCGATAATGATTCTCATCCTCATGTTGGTGTTATGTCTCTCTGTCACAGGGTCCTACAGGAGAACCTGGACGAGATGGTCGCGATGGTAAACCTGTAAGTAGTGAATAACTTTTTGTTTGGCATTTTCCACCCTTATTCACTGCCCAATAGCACTAAAAAGAAATTTTAAAAACGAGAGTTCCAGGAGCCTGCGCTCCTGCTGATTGTTCCTTGGTGCTGACCATAAGGAATGTGGGCTCTAAGGACGCCTTCCCTGCCAAAAAGAATTATGCCATATTGCACCTTGTTTGTTGAGATCATAAAAAGTAATCTGTGCTCCAGAAATATTTTGTCATTTTAGAGAAAATTCAAAAAAGGAGTCAAAAATGGCAATTTACTGATGCATGTCTTATGATGTAACGATCGTATTTCATTGTCGTTTAGGGAGAGACTGGTATCCAAGGACGAACTGGAGAAGAGGGACCCAGAGGACCTTCTGTAAGAAGACACTTTAAATTTATGTTTTATTTGATGTTTACACTTCTTTAAGGTCAATGAAATGTCTATATTTCATATCATACTAACTCTGTGAGTCAGCTTACGTCCAGTTTAGGTGTCCATTATTAGAAGTGCCTATGTTCCCATGGTTTGAATAATTGTCGAGCCACCAAACAAGGTAGCACACTCTTAATCGTTTTATTGATGTTTGTCTACAGGGTCAGAAGGGACCACGAGGCCAGACTGGATCTCAAGGTCCTGCCGTAAGTAATACGTTTTTAATTGTTGTAAACAAAGTTTTGTAAGGGATGGGGATACGGATGTATTGAGTTTCTCTCTCTAAGAAGGTATACAACTATTTTTTTATTGACTGAAGAATATCTATGTCCCTCCGCATTAGGGAGCAACTGGTCCAAATGGAGTACAAGGAGACCAAGGACGACTTGGGTTAAAGGGAAGCATTGGTGAGAGAGGACCACGGGGACCACGAGGTATTCAGGGTCCAAATGGCCCCACGGGATCGCCTGGTTCCAAGGGTGACAGTGGTAGCCCTGGTCGCGCAGGAAGACCTGGTTTTGATGGAGCAAAGGGAGATCAGGTATGGTAATTGCTGCCTTTTAATTGATGGCCAGGGAAAATGTGCCTGTTCAAGGTTATCTTTACATTCGGCGTTGAAGTTTAATTTTTGGATTTTGGAGTTTCCGGGTGTCATGGAAAAAGTCCTATTATTAATCCTTTAAAAGATAGTAAGATTGTTTTAGAAACGTAACCGGTAACTTGGTTCTTAAACATCTGTATTGTTGTTGATACTACCACTGTTGTTGAATTTGCCATTGTTGTTGAATTTGCCATTGTTGTTGAATTTGCCATTGTTGTTGAATTTGCCATTGTTGTTGATGCTGCTATTGTTGTTGAATTTGCCATTGTTGTTGATGCTGCCATTGTTGATTTTGTCATTATTGTTGATGTTGAAGTTACAATTTAGGGGCGGATCCAGGGGTCCAGGGTAGCTAGCCATCCCCCTTTTGCTCAAACTTCTCAGTATTATCCTTAGTAAGCCACCCCTTTTCATCCCATTCCTGGTAAAATCTTTGTAATCGTCACCCCCTTTTAAAGTTCCTGGATTCGCCACTGCAATTGTTGTTGATGTTAAAGCTGTCATTGATGTTGAAGTTTCCATTGAAGTTTCCATTGTTGTTATTATTGTTGAAGTTGGTGTTGCCATCGTTGTTAATGTTGCCATTGTTAATTTTGAAATTAATATTTTTGTTGATGTTGAAGTTGCTATTAATAGTTTTAGTGTTGCCATTGTTGTTGATGTTAATGTTACCATTGTTGTTGCTATTGTTTTTAATGTCGAAGCTGCCATTGTTGCTCTTTCTATCATAATTGCCACAGCTATATGTTGCAATTACTCCTTTGATCTCCTTTAAATTTAATGTCTCGAACTCACTTTTCCCATTTTCTATTCCCAAGGGTCCAATAGGAGCCATGGGTAACCCAGGACCACCTGGATTACAAGGACAAAGGGTAAGCTGTTTTTCATCTTTTGCATCTTTTGCATTAATTATATTCTCAGTTACGAATTAGCAACAAACTGCTTCTTTTGCAGAATAAAGGGGTCCAGTCATGGCAGCCATGTTGTGGGATATAATCTCTGTGTTTCACTTAAATCCAAAATTATTCCTTAGCATTTCCACGCACGAATGTTTTAGTCAAACAAACTTTTATTAGTTTGCCAGTTTTCAATTTGCTTAATGTATGTTTCCTTTGCTTTATTTTAGGGAAACTCAGGCTCTCCTGGATTAAATGGACGCCCCGGAGACAGAGTAAGCATAGACTTTTGGTTGTCGTCGTTGTGTGTTTTTATTTTATTTGTCATGTTAACCGATGATCCTGTCATGTTTTCAATAGATTTTCTCATTTGCAACTGTATTGTCTTGTGATGTTTTCTAGTATTCTTACTTCAATATTTGTTTAAGTTTAATCGTATGTCTTTAACCTTCTCTTCATTTTTCCTTTTTTCCCTTATTTTATGTGAATGTGCTTTTCTTTTCTAAACATATCATGTATGGGGATTATGCCCCCTCATAGGGCTATAACGTAAAGTACTTACTAGTGAATTGAAAACCCGAACAGGGAGCGCCAGGAAAACAAGGAAATAGAGGCTTATTGGGAGAGAAAGGGTCTCAAGGCAATCTGGGGCCTACTGGGCCAACAGGACCAAGCGGTCCCACTGGAAAGAGAGTAAGTAACTTGTGAATTTTTCCTTAATCTTAAGGCTTCTTTGCGCTAAATCTTCATCTTGGGCGCATATTTGATTAGAAAGGAATAGGTTTCTTATTTATCGCTTTCTAGAAAAAGAATCTACTGTTTGACTTTAGCACTTTCCTAAGTTCTAGATCTTGGGGTTCATGGCGATGTTTCCAAATAGTGTCTTCTTCCATTAAAATCCTGGAATTACAAATTGTTCAGTTTTGTGGATACAATTTGTAACTGGAAAACCCAATGGGAGAAACAAAAAGGCAAATCTACTCAAATACAAACCGTGTGTGGAAATAGGTCCTGGGTTGCACTGACTGGTTAGAAAGAAATGCAAAATAGGGGAATGTAGGTGGTTAATCGAATTGAATTAGAAATTTTTTTTAAAACAGGAATTTGAGGAAACGCCGAGGAGGAATGGGAAGCAACGTAAAAAACCTTACTCTAGTAATTTTACTGCATCCTTGGGTTTCATTTCAGGTTTTTCTGTCATTAATTTCTTATTATATTTCACGATTTCAGGGTAAGCAAGGAAGACCTGGAAACCCTGGAAAACCTGGCCCATCAGGACCAAGGGTACGTGTGAATGTCTCAACGTTTGGCAGCCATCACATTAGAGAGTAACTTGTCTCTCCATCCTCTTTCAAGCTGCTAATGCAACGCCACATTATTTTTTTCTAGCGCTGGTAACGCAATTGTAAATATAATTGCACGCGTGCAAATTTTGTTATCACAAAGTGTTTTGCGTATTTTTGCGTCGTTGCGTTGCAGGCAATGCAGCACAAGATCCAGAATTGTCACCAAAAGGGTTTCAAGAAGGTTTGACCGAGTTTATATATTGTTTCAGGGTGTTCAAGGTGTGAGTGGATTCCCTGGTGCTGACGGAAGACCTGGACCAAAGGTATGTGCATTAATGTATTCACGTGCAAGATTCAGTCAGATAGGTGTACATATCGATCATGACACTTACAGTGGAACCCCGCTCTACGGCCATCCACTTGATACGGCTATCGGGTTATTTATACAGGAATTTTCGATTGTCACCATCAGGTGTTAATTAATCTGCGTTAGTAAATGAAAGCTTTATTTCTTTTGTTTTTTTAGGCTTGTAGTCAGTTCAGTTACAATTAAGAGATTTAAATAGTATTCTGTTACTTTGAAATTGTATACTGTACTTTATATATCGTAAAGTATCAATAAAGCACGTGTCAGGAAATTGAGAGCCAGCTTCATACGGCAGCCGACTAATACGGTCAATTTAGCCTTTCCCTTTGGTGGCCGTTTTAACCAGGTTCCACTGTATTTTGCTCCTTTTACCGGAGTGTAAATGTGGTCTCGATGTAGTTCTGCAATGACCATCCAGAATGTGGTAAAAATGTAGAAGTATTGTGCTGAAGAAGTACGGTACATATAATGTTTCTTATAATCTTCATCTTCGTATCTTGTTTTTAGGGAGAGCGTGGACCAGTTGGCAGACCTGGAGAGGGAGGACTGAAGGGCGAACGAGTAAGAAAATCCTAAACATTTCTAACCTAAATGTCTTTTTAATAAATGATATGCATCCTGTAAGGGGTCTTAGTTGTAAGCACTGATCCCTTCATCCAATTTAAATGATGTTAATGTTTGGCTGCAAGCTAAACTGTTGATAAAAACTATTTCATGATGTGTGCAGTGTATCATATCAATAATTATGATTGTGTTTTGTGCCATAGGGAGCTGCTGGACGCTCAGGAAATGCAGGACGGCCAGGTGAAAGGGTATGTTATCCTTTGATTCAATGTTTACCAGGCATGGGGAATGTTACCCTTTGATTCAATGCTTACCAGGCATGGGGAATAGTGAAATTTCTAGTCACTTCATGCTACTGCAGTTGATCACATAACAAGATACATAGGAAGAGAAGGTTAACCCTAGGATGGACCAGCATTCCTTCCAGGGAAAGTAGTGACATTCCTAGTCCCTTCATGCTACTGCAGTCACGGATCACGTAGCAAGATACAGGGGAGGTGGAGGATATTTATTTAATGGACCTACCATCAAGGGGAGTCGTGATAATCCTAGTCACTTAAAGTTACAGCATGTCACAGGATCTTGACATGATAACAAACACTGATCATGATTACTTTTGATTAATGTTTTGACAGGGACCAGAGGGTGCACGTGGAAGCCCTGGCAAACCTGGAAACGTTGGAGTCACAGTAAGGAAACGAGTCCTATTTTGATTTTTTTTGGGTGGTGGTGGGGGGGGGGGGGGGGGGGATATTTTCGCTACGGTGCTATGCAGCCATTTTTCCCATTCGCTGATCTTGAATGGTGGTTTCCTATACTCTAACTACATTCAATTTACATGGCCATTAGAACAAAATAAATAAGGCGGACGATCATGGGTCTGATACGTATACTAAAATTGTGATGTTTTTGCTTAGGGTATCCCTGGAGAAGACGGTCGACCTGGACCTCCAGGACCTCCTGTAAGTACAAATAAACCTGTTTAAAAGCATGGATTGTCCGGAATTCTTTAACCGTGATTAACATCGTTTTATCTTTTAATCCTTAGGGAACCCGTGGTATGCAAGGAGCCCCAGGATTCAACGGCCCGAAGGGCGCTCAGGTTTGTGACAAGTGCAGCTTAAGAGTGAAATTGTTATCTATTTATTTATAAATATGTGAGATGTTATGTGCGCTCAATGTCGTATCCAGAGCCTGCGTTTCTTCTGGCCTGCGGCGAAGAACGAGAGCTCTGGCATAATACATCCATTTTTTGAGACCAGGATTTCTTGGACTTCCGGTATAAGAGCGCTAAAAGACTTGTTAAAAATAAAAAAAGTATGTTCCAGCAGATTCTAATTTTTATTTTGATCGGAAATAACACAGAACTCTGTTTGAAAGCATGATTTTCATTGATTATATTTCACTTCCGGAAAACTGCGCATGCGCCAAAAATGGATTATGCCAGAGCCCTCGTTCTTCGCCGCAGGCCAGAAGAAACGCAGGCTCTGGGTACGAGATTGATGTGCGCTATGATTGGATGTATCAGATATTGGATACATCATGGTTGCATCAGAGGACAGAAAACAAGCTCAGATCAAACGTTTGGTTTAATTTAACCACGTGTCCACTTGTGTCTATATACTGTTATATAAAAACTCTGGGAGCTGTAGACGGCGCCCTAGAGATGTCTTCACAACACCTCAGTTTTTCAGTGACGTCATTTCTACGTCATTATTGTTGTACGAGGCTGGAGAGTGCTATTCGAATGATAAACCTCATAGAGCGGATTATTTATTAGATAACAGCATCAATTTATCCACTGGATAACGATTTATACCCTTCGTACAATCGGGCCCTGGATTGTATGGATTTTATATTCCTAATAAATATTTTTGATTGTTTTGATTGTAGGGTTCACCTGGACGAGCTGGTGAACGTGGAACACAGGGATCCCAAGGAGCTAAGGGAGATACTGGAGCTCCTGGAGCAAGAGGTCTTCCTGGTATTGCTGGTGCTGCTGTAAGTAACAATAAGGAATGAAAAATGAATGTGCAAGAAAAGATAAGAGATAAGAAGCGAGGGTGTGAGAGAGAGGGGAGGAGTAGGAGAGCACAGGGAGGACAGGAAAGAGGAAGAAAGGAAGAAGGAAGGAAGGAAGGAAGAAACATCAAAGAAAATGTAATTGACTTGTCTTGTAATCGTTTCATTGAAACTAAAACTGTTCCATTGTGCTTTCTAGGGACGACCAGGAGAAAGAGGCGAGGCCGGTATGCAAGGAACCCCTGGACCTCAGGTAAGTCAGAAGGCGCTTTAAAAACCATACCACATATAAATGATTACATACCACTTATAAATTGATTTTTATTTCTTGCCTATCGTTAAGTAGCGATACGTACTTAAAGATAATTATATATCTAAAGTGCCAGTAAATGTCAGTAAATTCATATTCATTAACCTCCTAAATTAATCAGAAATTTTTGGTACGATTTCACAAGAAAAAGAAAAATGATAAGAAATATATTAGTCGTTGACATGATGCGAGTACAGATCCCCTGCACTGAGTCCCTAAAGGGACAATGGATTTTTTTTGCATAAGAAAAGACGGCTTATAGACCCCTTGCATCTGACGTCAAAGCAGCTCGATCTGGGGACAAAACAAAAGAATTCCAATCTCCTAAGAATGAGGACCTATTGTTTTGTCCCCCAGATTGAGCTGCATTCCAAAGTGCTGCAAAGAGTCTGTTGTTTTTTCCCTCAGAAAATCTCCTCTAGGAAATCAATGTAAGAGGTCTATTATGTGAATATTTCTGAAAAAGTTTCCCTTGATACGCCTTATTATCATATGACCCGTATCTGCCCGGACGCACGTTCTTAGCAGGGCCGTACGAATCCGTACGGCCCTGCTCGAATCCTGCGACTTTCTTTTATTTTATTATTTTTCTTTTCGTGAGGGTCATATGATAAAATGCTCATTGACTAAGTTAGGTCGGGCCGTACGGGAAATTATTTGGCACTCGGTCATTTGCACGGCATCACCTCGAGCCAAATATTTTCCCGTACGGCCCGACCTAACTCAGTCAATAAGTACATAGTAGCATTCCGGCACATTCTAATAGCCTATAATTCAACCAATAAAAATACTTAGTTGCAAATAAAGTTTTCACCACCTTTGGCTAACAATATATATGTAGTATTAACACACAGGAACTCATGCCAAAATCTCGTAAAATAGTGCTTCTTTGACACGCAATAAACATGTGAAGTTTTCATCTTTCTTTAGGGACCTGCTGGAGCTCAAGGTCGACCTGGAGAGGCTGGTAAATTGGGACCACCTGTAAGTATTATTTGCGTTATTTAAGGAACTGGCATTGGTTTTACTTTACCTTGTAATATATATATTCTGTTTCTAGGGCCCAGCTGGAGAACCCGGTGCTGATGGCAAACCTGGAGAACAAGGTGAACGAGGCCAACCCGGCCCACGGGGACCCGAGGGTGTCAATGTAAGTCAAATTTTGAAATTTTGTATTCCTGGTTTTTTGGAGTTGCCCAATTTTGGTTGAATAATAAGATTTCATTAAATTTTACTCAAATGCATGTCTAACCTTTTATCCCAGGGAGCAGCTGGACAGGTTGGCCAGCCAGGATTACCAGGATCTGATGGAGCACCGGTAAGATATTTCGAAGCATTCTTGCAACCCATTCCAATGATGGCCCTTTTGTAATGATAATAGAAATCATCTCAGTGTTTCTTTGTGTTGTACAAATAGGGAGAGAAAGGACCTGCTGGCAACCCTGGAAGTCCTGGAGCACCTGGTGGCCTGGTAAGTACAGTAATAGCAATGTTTTTTAATGAGGTGAATAAACATTGAATTATGATCCACGCATGCGTACCAAATCGAGATATCTTTGAGAGAAACGTTTGCTTTGAAGATGTCTGAGACTCTTTCTAAATGTTAAAAAATTAATACCAAATTCAATCAAACCCTCTTTAAAACTCATCAGGTACCACTTTTTTAATAGAAATGTTGAGATATTTAGGCTCAGGTCAAACGTCGAACTTCACACTAGCCGATCCTAGTTGAAACAATTGAAAGCAAGGCAGCCTTCTTGGATGTCATTAGGTTCGGCTCATGTGAAGTTTGACGTTTGACCTGAATCTTAGAGTTGCAATGTTTTCTAGCATCCCTCCCCTTTCTGCTACGGATGTCTAGCCATAACGTTATCAACAAAAGACGTTCACAACTGGCGCTTGCAATCTTATTAAACTTTTATTATTTTGCTAGGGATTACCTGGTATGTCAGGGGCTCCTGGTTTCGCTGGATCCAAAGGAGAGAATGTAAGTCACAATTAAATTTGAAAACAAACATGTTTTATACTATCAAAAATATTATTATTGCTATATGTAGAGCAGGCTTTATTCGGATATGGGAAATTTGTAACAAGGGTGGGTACTATCCTGCATGCCCAGTCCTTTAATGTCGGCTTTTCATTGAATAGACCGATCCCAGCTATGATTGAGTGTCCACCGAACAATAGGTAGTTTTCCCAATGGAATACTGAATATCCGACCAACAAACTCGAATTTATAAGTCGATGTTTTAGTAGTTATCGATGTTTTTAAAACGTACCTTTAAAATGCATTAATTCCAAGACAGACAGTTTTCAGCAGTCGTTGTCTCCAGGTGATCTGAGATAGATTGTTAGCCAGAACCAATGAAACAGAATCGATAAAATTTGCAAAACTGAGGTGTCATCACTTTTCTTCTCGAAAGTATGAATTTCCAGGCAACCAAAATAGGTTGCGAATAAAAAGTTGATGCACAGTAATACAATAACTAATGTTATGAGTTTTATATTTTTATTGCAATGGTGGACAGGTTTTTGTATTTCGCCGATCATTTATTGCAGGCTTCATTTCTACGTCACTATTTCAGATCAGCTGGCTGTTCCATGCTGTATATCAAAAGCACATTTTAGCTTGTTTGACAGTAACTAGGGAGGTAGAACATTAAACATCGGTGAACAGGTAGAGCATCGGGATCGGTGTATTAAAGCTTAGATAAATTACCTTTTATCGTCTCGATTTACAGGGTGAACCTGGCCCCATTGGTCCCACTGGTCGCGATGGCAAAGATGGAGAACCCGTGAGTGAATAACACAACCTTTTGTCTTTGATATGTCTTGCTAATTATCAGCACGTCTTAAGAGTATGTTATATTCAGAAGTACTTACTAGTGGTGACTAAAATATTATTATGTAATAAGTAAACCTTTTGCTTAGTCTTTGTACGCTGTCCATAAATGATCAGAAAATACAGAACACCTCCAAAAATAAACTCCCCTCCTCTTCCCCAATTAAAGTTCCCTATGATTTATAATTTATAACAAAATAAATCCTATAATAAGTCCCCCTTCCCCCTCCCAAATATAAGCTCATGGAGGTATTTCAAGCATTCACCCGAAAATACGTTATACGATGGCCAAGCTCATTTCTTGTCAGTAGCTAACAAAATGTCACCCGAAAATAAAGCTAGCCACATCGGTTTCTTTTAATAAATATTTCCAACCAAGCTTATTTTCGATGTTTACGGTAGAAATGCTCATTTGTATATACTAAAAAAAATGATGAGTAAATGAAGATTTATGAATTAAATATTGTTATTTATAGGGTAACGATGGAGCACGCGGAAACCCTGGACGAGCTGGTCAACAGGGACCCAAGGTAAGCTAGTGATTTATTTTCTAATTTTTAATACTTTTTAACTGCCTTTTTTACTGGATTTTTTTTTTCGACCCATAATTCCTTACTTCATCAGTTCGTTACCAATCTACCATTGCGTTTTGGGAAAGTTACCTATAAAATAACTACTACTAGTGGCGTAAAGAAGATCCAAGAGTTCGGGATGAAGAGAGCGAGCGCGCGTATTTTGAAAGGAAAAAATCCTACCGAAACCACAGGAATTCAATAACTTGTTACTCAGAGTCATGAAGAGAACAAGCAATCTCAGCTCACGGCGACTTGAATTCGAAACCCTGACCTCAGAGGTGAAAGGCGAGCGTTTTACCACCACGCCATCCTGACTCCCCTACTGTAACTATATATTCATGGTGCTTTCCATATGAGTTGTTCTACAATTCGTTCTTTTGTCGTGCAGGGTAATGGTGGTACACCCGGAACACCTGGACGACCTGGCAAGCGTGGAGAGGACGTAAGTGATTCTGTTTCCAAGCTTTTTGGTTGCATTTTACATGTAAACTGATTATGTATCTATATTTCAAAAAAGGTTGTCATCGCCAAAGGCGATAGGCCATAGGAGATTGATCATTCCAAGATCCACGAATATAGCTGGAATGACTTGCGTTTCTGCTTTTGAAATAGGTGTATATTTGTATCGATTATCTATTAACTAGCATTGTTTTTGTTGTTGTTTTGTAATATTTGTGTAATGCCATTACATTATGAGAGAAATCAGACTTAATTATACAGCTTCTCATTAGTCCCAAATAGGTAACTGTCCTATTATCTTTTTTATAGTACACTCAACAAAATTACTCGACTCTGATTGGTCGAGAGGAGTACAATTATAGCGTTAATTGTACTC